GTAGGGTAGAGTAGAGTAGAGTAGAGTAGCGTAGCGTAACGCAAGGTTAAGTAACGCAAAGCAAATAACCTGTGAATGTAGTTCTCTCGATTTCCAGGCAGGTCATAGTTGATAACCAGTGAAACCTGTTGTACATCAATACCACGTGCCTGAGAAAGGAAGGAAACAAATAAAAATTAAATTATTTCTTCTACTTAAACTTCAGTCAAAGTAGAAAGCTCTATCCTTTCTGTCCAGTAACAGTTCCTATTCATTCCCTTATATAGCATGTGCTGTGATTTGTCCATTTTATGGGCTGTATTCCATAGTATAGCCTGCTCTTGAACTAATGTCGTACGAGTCGCACGGGTCGTACATACACTCTTTCAAGTCTCTCTAATGATATACAGTTCACCAACTGAACGACTCGTAAGCCATTGTTTCACGACCCGTACGACTCGTACGAGTCGTACGGGTGCGGGTAGTACGTTTATACAGTTCACCAACGGTACGACTCGGAAACCATTGTTTCACGACCCGTACGACTCGCCCGAGGCGTGCGAAAAGGAAGATGCCATATACGGGTCGTATCAGTTTGTGTATATTGGACAGCCCTGAGCTCTAAATAATGAACATCTCTTAATCATTTTGTTTCTTGGTCTATAGATAAAAGTCCTCAGTTTTTCCGGCCATTCTTGAAGGCCCACATACTGTGCTTTTGGGCCATACATATATTGACTATACAACACTTACCAACAAGTCTGTAGTGATAAGCACTCGACTGGAACCAGAACGGAATTCTTTCATGATCACGTCTCTTTCTTTCTGATCCATGTCACCATGCTACAATGTCAAAAAATTAAGTGAAAATTTCATCACGACACACTATGCCAATTCTTAGAAATAAATTCTCTCTGCTTGTGTCATCATTACATCAACAGCTCACACTTGTCCTGTGTTTCCATCGTGTTATAATATAAATCTACTCGCGTTCAATTACGACTGCCGTTCTCTGATTGGCTACGCTACTCACTATCTATTTAACAAATAGATTCCATGTT